ATTAAGTGCTAGACAATCAAAACACTCCCTAACATACAGGGTTACCCCACCACCTCTCCTTCTTTGCCTATGCCTTCTGAAGCATTTATAGCCATCCATTGCACCACTCCGGTTGTGTGAATCATCCCACAATGTTTCCATGATGGCAACTATGTCATAGTTTTCTTGCTGCATAATGGCTTTCAGCTCCTCCTGTTTGTTGCCCGTGCTGCATGCATGGGTGTAGATGCACGTCAGTTGGGCTATTGATCCTGCCACCTTTTTGCAGGCAGAAACCCTAGTTCCTAAATAACCATTCCCAGACACTTCTGTGGTTTCTAATACACCAATAACCCTTGCATCTCTGCTGCCACCTGAATCTCCATCCCCTACCTCCACCAAAACGTCAGACCTCACTAGCACACTGTCCTTCAAATATTGGTGTGCTTCCCTCAGATTTATCTCTTGTGAGCCTGGTTTTATCCCTCTCCCCCTTCAAATCTAGTTTAAAGCTCTTTCAAAGAGCCCTAGTGACTCCTGTGAAAAGATCCTTTTCCTCCTCTGAGACAAGTGTACGCCATCTGTTGCCAGCAGGCCTGGTACCTTGTTGGTATCTTGTCAAGTGTGTGCTATCCTGCTGTCATTTTAAAATTAAATGTAGCAACTTAGGATCCTAGAAATTTTACTCCTGTAAAAACAGTTGAAATTAGATCAAAGGTTAAGTGGGGACACGGAGGAAGAGGCAAGTGGATCCCATACGTTTTGTTTCTGTAGGACACAAAGTTAATATTGCATTTGAGGCCCCAAGAAATTACAAGATTATAGCTTAGAAAGCATGAGAGTTCATTTCTAAATGAGTTTATTTTACCTTCTTTCTTCCTGAAGTTTCAGATAGCATGGAAGTCACTCAATTCACCTCAGGAAGTAGAACATTAAATAAGGCAAATAAAACTCCTGCAGTACTAGACAAGTGTTGTAATACCACACTTCTGAGATGGGGGCACAGAACTCTGGGAGCGAAAACACTCATGTGATACTTGCCCATGGTCAGCTTCTTCAGGAGAGGAGACCACAGCAGCCTTAACTTTCTCCGGAAACAAATTATTTCCAAAGAAAAAATGCCAACTGTGGATTTCATGTGAGAGTCACTTTCATTTATTTTATTTCCAACAGAAATCACAGCTATAGATACAGTAATTAAAAAAAAAAAAAAAACCAAAACAACCCAAAAAAACCCCAAAACCCAACGAAAACCAACAACCTAGAAAAGAAGCATCCAGACACAAGAACACACATTTAGACATGTTGCAGAAGTGGCCTTGTAAAGATGAATGTCAGTGAAGATAATTTTATTTATCATGTAACTGAGTATCAATCAACCTGATATTGATATAATAAACTAAGCAGTAACACTTTTCAAATTGCAAGCTTTACCACAGTACCTGCTTGCAGTAGCCTGTCAGCTACATGCTCCCTGGAAACGTGGGATTATCAGCATTAGGGTGAGTTCAGGATTCAGAGGATGAGATCACGGTTCATAGGTGAGTTTCCATATTACCTTCTCAAAGGAGTTTCTTTCAGCACATGCAAAATTCCACTCAGATGAAAATCATATTTTATCAATTAGACATGAAACTTTGGGATGAAACTGTTTCTCCCTTTGTATTTGTACAGTGCCTGGTGTACTAGAGAGACTCTATTTCTATTGACATCTCTAGGAGTTATTGCACCACTACATAAAAGAGGGTTACTACAGGAATTCAGCCTTCAAGATCTACAGCATCTGATGTCAAAGAAAAAAGGAGTGACCTGGGATCCCATGTTATACAAGGGTTTGGATTAAGTTATCAAAATGGTCCTTTGAAATCTATGGCTTTACAACATCTGCACTTTTACTCCATAAATGAAGATGTATCCAAAGACTTCAGGATTCTATTTTACCATATATGAGAACTGAGTCCTTTCCTGATGTGTCCAAGTGCTTTGTGCTGAGTCAGCCCCCCCAAAATTTTCAAATGCTGTTTGTTTCCCTGATGTCTATGGCAAAATCAGCATTAATTTCAAATAGCTAAAAAATTTATCTTCAGTTTCTAGTTTCTGCTTCCAGATCAGATAGCTGATAGGAAAGAAATTTGATCACAGCTGGACAAGAAATAAAAAATAGAGACTCCTGGGATGCTAACAACAAATAAAACAATAATGGAAATAGGAATTCTTATAGTTTTTCTTACTGGAAAATGCTAAGTGGTAATTTATTACACCTTACACAGTAAGTAGGAGGGCTTCTAAAGCATTTCTATGTGGAAAGTTACTATGTGAATTACATCTGTTTCTCCACAAAGAAAAGGATAGAGCTTCTATATCATTGCATTAGCTACTACAGGTATATTTAATGATGATTTCCGTGCATACAGGAGTACACTATTTTATTTTAAAATCTGTCCTTTTTTACTTTCACAAAGCAGTATAAGGAAAGCCTTGTAACTGGAGAAGAACATTTCTATAATGTTCGCAGTTTATTTGAAAGTTGCTTGGATTATAGTGACACCTTATGGCAGTTTTATTATATTTTACAGATGGTTTTGAAAGTTAGGATCTCATATACTTTTATAGCCTGTCACTATCAGCAAGGAACTGCTTTGATGTTTTTAGAAATCTTTTTGTTACAAGTTACTCAAAAGATCATTCTATCTCTTTAGATTTGTGGTTTCCCTTTTGCCTTTACTAGGAAAACACATTTTAAAGGGGAATAGTCTTTGGTATTGTGTTCTCTCCATGTTTAACTGACTTGAGGAAACACGACTCCACAACCTCTAAGGTTATGAAGTAGGTATGTTTATTCAGTGCTGAGGTGCACGGGGGATCATTCCACCACAAACGTGTGTGCCTCTTGTGGCACCTTGCCTTAGCTTTATGCTACAAAGCATTACACATTCATAACACATCTATACATATGCATGACCTACCCCTGCTTTGTATTATAATGAGCCTGAAAGTCATCTTCCTAAGTTCCACTCTGGTCTCCTCCTAGTTGTGTCTGTGCAGTGTGTCCCAGTGGTCGTGGGCTGGGGTCGCAGAGATGAAGTAGCTCCTCTTCCTCACTGTTGAACTTTTTACCTCGGTTTCTTGTGCAGTCTCTGTAGCCTCTTGGACCCAGGCTGGACCATAGGGTTGGTTTTGACCAGTTTTTAGGGCTGTCTTCCTATTCCATCAGGAAGCGTTTCCTCACAGCTTCCATCAGTCAAGGTTTCCATATTGTTCTGCTCTCTGGGCCATCAACTATGATCTATTATCCTATTTTAATTTTAGTTATCTTTTAACTAATAGGCCTCTAGTCCATAGCCTGATCTCTAAGTCTTCCATCTTTATCACTAAACTAAGTTATACCTTCATTTCTTGAGTGCCTAATTTCGATATCCTATTTTAATTTCCTAGCCCCTCATTTCATAACAGATAATCTATGCCAGGCAGTACATGCATATCATGCTGCTCAAAACTATCTGTGGTGATACACGATCTGTGAGTACAGTCTCTTACTGGATTGATTCACAAAATTATAGCATATAGCATTGTGTTCCTTTGCTCTTGGATCTGAACTCCTTAAAAGTGTAATAAACTATAGTAACTAATTTGCTAAATTAAGCAGGGCGAGTGTTGTAATAAAATTATTGTAAATAATATGCTAGGCTGGGCAAGGTGGGTATGATACACTTGAACAACCTGTAAATGTTAGACAATTAAATGTTAAATGGGCCATTCAGATTGGAACGATGTAACTGTGTCTCAGAAACCCCACCAAGAGCCGATAAGTAATTGCTGCTTGAAGAGAAGCCCGACAAAAGGATGAGATAACGAGGCTTTTAAAAGATCCAATAGGAGAAAAGCACACCAAGAGACCAAGGTTTTGAGACTTTCAAAAGACCCCATAGGAGGAGGACATGCACCCCAGCAACCCAAATGACCCAATGGAAAAGACCAGGACAATCATCTGACAAGAAAGACTTGTTAAAGACGATGACACAAGAGTATAAAAACGCTGGAATTTTGGAACTCAGTGTGCGTGTGGCAGAGTTGCAGCTCTCCATGCACGCAGCGCTGCTTTGCCTATTGCTTCTCACACTAAATCGATTGAACTCAAATAAAAACATTTTTTAATAAAAATTGGCTTTGATTATAACAATTTGTTGACCCTGACATGATCTCAGTCTGCTTTCCTGGACTGTGGCTTCTCGAGGGGTGCCCCATAGGTTGTGGCTCGAAGGCGTCTGGGTCAGTCTCCAGAGATTAACGGACAAAAAGAGAAGCAATAGTCAAAAGAATTGGAGCTCCAAAGGGAAGACTGCAGTATAAAATACCCGTAATTCTGGTGCACGAAGACCCGAACGAAGATGACGGAGTCGTGAGTATAAGGGATACCGTTCGGTTGGGTGGGATTCGTTTGCTTGTGTGTGAGAGTGTGATTGAGACGGAACCTCATTCTGGAAATGAAAGTCGTTTCAGAGCCAGGATTTGAGTTCCAAATCGAGTGTGGAGGTCGTCTAACCGTGGTTCCAAACTCCTGTGAGGGATTTGGCCGGTGAAGGACCGAAGAGGATCCTATAGGACTTGTGGGTGGGAGCACAGTTTCTAGGGGTAGGTGGGTGGGTAAAGGGTTCAGCCCCCCCGCAGGACACTCTTACCGGTAACCAAGGGCAAGAGGAATTGCTGTAGAAAATTCCCAAGGCGAGAGGAACTGCCATAGGAAACTCCCAAGGTGAGAGGAATTGCCGTAGAAAGTTCCCAGGAGATACGTGGGTGGGTAAGAGATTCAGCTCCCTGGATCTAACCCCCTACAAGGCTGAGAGGAATCGCCACAGTAAAACCCCTAGACAGGTCAAAGAGAATCAAAAACTCGGGACCAGAGAAAAATGAGTAAATTACCGGATATACCACCAGATAGTCCATTAGGCATAATGATTAGAAATTGGAATGAAAATGGTCCTAGGAAAGGAAAAAGTAAATTAAAATTAGTCCAATATTGTATGGTTGAATGGCCAAAGAAACCTTTAAAACCACATGTCTTCTGGCCTACTTTTGGATCTTTTGAAGACTGGATTTGCCAGGCTTTAAGTACATATGTTTACTCAATAAAACCTTTTAGTCAAGAAGAAAGTGATTACACAAAATTGTGGATCGGGATTTCACGTCCCTATCCAGCTTCAATACTTACACTAAAAAAGGATGAGAAATCTGAAGAAAAAGGGGATAAGAACAAGGAAGGGACAGAGAAAGATGATGAATGGGAATCACTAGATAACTTGCCGCCCCCATACTTTAATTATCCAGTCCCAGCAGCTTTAACAGCCCCGGTGGCTTTAACAGCTCTGGCAGCTTTAACAGCTCCTACGGTTCCCCTTCTACCTCCGGCTGCATGTACAAGACGTAAAACTGCCGTAACTGAGGGAGCTTCTTTATATCCTGTACGGGAGGTACCCCTTGGAGTCAATCAAGGAGGCATCGGATTTGTGGCAGTCCCGTTAAACACCTCCAATGTACGAAATTTTAAAAAAGAAATGAGGACCCTATTAGATGATCTTCTCAGAGTAGCTGAGAGGTTAGATCAATTTTTAGGTCCCAATACTTACACTTGGGAAGAAGTACAGTCCATTTTAGGCATCTTATTTATTGCCGAAGAAAGAGGAATGATCAGGCAAGCCGGAATGAGAATTTGGGAGAGACAAAATCAGGTAGAACCTCCAGGGGACCATAAATGGCCAAATGTGGATCCCCACTGGGATCACCAATAACCCCAGGGGAGAAAAAATATGAGAGATCTAAGAATAATAATTATTCAAGGGATAAGGGAAGCGGTTCCCCGAGGACAAAACATTAATAAAGCATTTAATGAACAACAGGAAAAAGATGAATCTCCAACGGAATGGTTGCAATGGTTAAGAAAAAGCCTACAGATGTATTCTGGCATTGATTCGAATACAGTAGCGGGAACAGCACTCCTCAGAACACAATTTGTTGCAAAACCTTGGGAAGATATATTAGAAAAAAATAGGAAATTGGCAAGAAAGGGGATTGGAAGAATTACTTAGAGAAGCTCAAAAAGTTTATGTTAGAAGAGATGAAGAAAAACAGAAAACAAAGGCAAAGATCTTTGTAGCGGCCGTAAGGGAAAGCCAGAAAAATCAGACTCCTTCTGGGGAAAAGGAGAAGAAATTAGAGCAGCCGACCAGGGAAAGACCTCACCGAGAAAGGTCTGCTGCCCCTATTTGTTACTATTGCAATAAGAAGGGACATGTTAAAAGAAACTGCCAAAAACGAGATGAGAGAATGTTTCAAGAATAGGGGTGTCAGGGGCTATATCTGTATATCTGTTTGAATACTTATGAAGAAATATAAAAGTGCTGCCCATCTTACTAAGGAAAACTGTGGATTTTAACTGTTATTTACAGGTCCAAAATCATGTGTATTGTGATGCACAGCATGGATTTGATCTTCCAAAGTCACAGGCTGTAAGCACCGTTGCTGTTCGCATATTGAATACTCATTATGATCGTGTGTCTCCACTTTGGCTACAGTGTCAGTGTGTGCCAAAATTGGAAGTCTCAGATAGCAGAGTTAACTTGGCATTCAAAAGACAGTGTAGAAGAACCAGAAGAGGAAAGAAAGCCAGATAAGAGCCCAACATGCCCACTGAAGAAGAAATGTGTTTTGATGAGAGAAAGGTAGGTAAAAAGTCTCACAAAAGTGTGTTCTACAGTGCTACTGTTATTCAAGGCCCAGTCACAGTGCAACAGCCTCTTAATATGTCCTGTGCCTGAGAGAGCCAGGTTCTTAAATGTTTTATAGAAAAAGGCAACTTGTGTTAATAGAGTGTCATAGATCTTCTTGAGGGAATGGAAGGATGAATGACCAACAGTTGTCATACAGAAGGTAGAACGGAAAATTGGGGCCGGGTGTGTTATTTGCCATGCAGTGAGCATGCATGAGTTGGCATCTGGTTGACAGTTTAAGAGTAAGATCAAGCCGTGAAGAACATCAGGTGCCATTGTAAGATATTTTCATAAATCTGTGACATATGTCCAGACAAATGGATAAAAACATTGCAGGAATCCAATATTAGGAAAATTTGCAGTGTGTGGAATTGGATTCAGGGTTCAGCAGGTCTTGGTTGTGCTGTTGCTTGGTTGCTCCGCGTCTGTATGCTGGAGCTTTGCCCCGAGAGGGCTTTCCCAATACAAACTGGCTGATAGTTCTCTTATTCGGCACTCTTCAATGAAGTATGTTGGCTTTAGGTGGTGTGGAGGTTGCTTGGTTTTGTATTCCTGTACTGGGTTTGGGTTTGTCACTTTCAGTGTCATCTGTGAGCAGTAGATAAATGACTTGGGTTCTCTATCTAAAACTTCTGCACAAATAACTCAACCATCATGTTTTATGGTGCCTTAATGTTTGGAGCAATGATCTTTGACTTTTTCCTTTTAGTGAATCAGTGCCTGAAATCCCATTTTTCTTGATTTCTTTTTTCTTTCTTTGCTTGACAAATCTTGTATTTCAGCCCCTTTCACCTACGTTTTTCAGACTTTCTTTAAGCTCTTAATTTCATTCCTTTTCTTTTTCTTTTCCAGGTCTTAGTCTCTCTCAGTCCAGTTTTGTGAATTTTCCTATTCCTTCTGGAGACTCCACTTCTCTCAGCTACTGCAGTCTCTCCTTCTGTCTGGTTCTGCCTTGAGTTAACCCACATTGAAGTGCATAAACGCTTCTTTCCCCTCACGTTCTGTCCTGGTTCAGGAGATGTGTGTTCTTCCCACACACTGGCAGACACAGCACAGGGCCCAGGAGGTGCCTGTACCTCCAAAGGAATGTCTTCTGCAAACTGCTGTTTGTCTGCTGCTGTGCTTCCAGAGGAGACTGCTCTGACAGGCATGTATTCATATCTGGCTTAGAAATTTGGCTGGAAATTTAGGGTAATGTTTTGAAAATAGAAAACAGCGTAAGCAAGGCAATAAATATGGGCAAGGCACAGGCTGACTGCAAGTGGGGGTTCTGTCAGAGTTGAACTATGGCTTTGGATTCAACTGTCACTCTTCTAGCTGTAAAGTCAGCATAAACATAGTATATGCGTGCACACACTGCTAAAAAAGTTAAGTGCTAGTATGATACTTGGGGAGCTCGAGATGAAATCTTCTGTGGAAATGAAGTAATTATTTTGTTTTTCTGTGTATCCAGTTCCAAAGTTGGAGAGTACCTTTAATGAAAAACTATTTTTGCTAGCTAGGTAGGAATGATTTCTCCTAAAAACTTAACCTTGTAGCAAGATTGGTGCAAATGTCGCTGGAGGAGTGGGACTGTAGTCTTTCTCCTTGGTCCTCCACGAAGGAGGTAATACTCTCTTCTTTATTGTGTCTGTCTCAGACTAATTAAAAAATGTCTTTTGATTTTTATATAGCGTGCTATCTCCTTCAAAGAAAAGAGCAATAGCATAGCTGATATAAATGAATCAGAGGAGGAAACTGAGAAGAAATCAGAAATCTTAGATACACCATCACAAGGTATTTGGTTAGTTTTTATGTGCAGCATTACAAAAGTAATTTTTCTAAATTTTTTACATTTACAAATTGAATTTATTTTATATATGGAACATAATCTAGATCTCTATGTGAGTGGAACAAAGTTTCTAAATATATTGATGTTTTGATAACACTTGAGTTTTGTTGACATTTCTATTAATGATTGTTAAATTCAGGGAGAAGATAGGACAAGATGGATTTTGTTCCCAGATTTGTTTTAATTTATTTATTATTTATGTTTATGTTAATGTACATGTTTGTTATGTTTCTGTACATTTGTGTATTATTATGCATGTGTTTATGTGTTATGTGGGAGAGACACACAATCTTTATGAATCTGCCAGGCTGTCTAGTGAGATTGACTTCCTCAGAAAAAACTGGTTCAAATGTGTATAATGGTAGGCACTGTTCTGCTGATCGAGGATGTCAGTTAAACTCAGACACCAGAGTGAAAAGAGTAGGCTTATTTTACCATTAATAATTAAAGGATATAACCAAGTAATACAGAAAACAAGCAGTAAGAAAAATATACAACAGTACACTTAACTATTACTACATACAGTTAAGCAAGGCAATACACCTAATCATTACTACATGACAGGGAGAACAGTGATTAAGAAAGACACCTCACCACTTGCACACATTACCATCATCCAGATCTGCAGTCTCTGGGGAGCCCCAGTTACAGCAAGGATTTGCAGAGCCTTTCCCTGCAAGTGGGAAGTCCTACGCGGTGTGTCCACCCATAGGTGAGGCTTCCAAAGTCATGGCAAGTGGGTCCAACCTTATATACCAAAAATCATCAAGCCTGAATAACTTACACCTTTGTTTTGAGAAGAAACATCTTTGGATTCCACCAAAAGCCTCGTCAGGGCTTGGGGTGGGGGGGGACAACCAAGGGCCAAACACTTGGGTTCTCAGCCTTGAAGAAGGCTAAGCAAGGAAAGTTGGATACACCTTCTCACAGAATTTCATCCTCACTACTGATTAGGTTCTGTCTGAGCTACATCTTTCACTAGTGAGCATACATATTTAATTAATTATACTAATAATTAATGCTAATGGTAATACAGATTTTACTAAATAACAGATACTAATAATGGATAACGTTCATTTGTGAGGTTCATCTAGAGGTCAACTTTGTTTCAGGGCCTATTACTCAGGCCTTAGCACTACAGGCACTCAGGTAGCATAGGTATTACTGAGTATCACTTTGATATGTGCCTGAAGTGAGACACACACTGATACACTTTACTGAAAGAGGGCCTAATTCTATGAACTAAAACTCTTCATTTGTCCCACTTAGGTATAGTTATGAATTTCTTCAGTGTTGTGGTGTCCTTTGGTTTATTGAGTTTTCTTGTAGTAGTCTTAAATCAAACAACCGCAAACCAGTCAGCATAGTTTAGCTGATAGATACAGCCTTTACCTTGTAAAAGAAAAAAATCAACCCCACACCACAACACTTTCTGCTGAGCACAGTCCAAGCAACCATTTGTCAGACTTGACCCTAAAGACCACCCAAACAAGGTGGTTTTCAAGAGAATATAAAGAACTTGGGCTTCACTTGAAGGAATTTACTATTTTATTTTGGTAAGGCTTTGAAAATCCTTACCATAGTATAGGCGGAATGTATGTGCACAGAAGTGTACTAATTATGCCTGAATATCTTTAAGCTTTAGTAAGGAAAGCTTATGAAACTGTTCTTTTGCTGGCATGCTAAGGATTTGAAAACCCATTCAACCACTTGTCAGAACAGTTTGAAAGGATACTCAGTTATCACAAATTCAGTGAAAAGAGCGTGCCAGGTCAGACAGAGGAAAAAAACAGAAATGCAACAACAAGGAAAAGAACAAGAACTACTGCAGTTCGCTGGATTTAACTTCTCTATACCGGTGTCATTTAGCTTGGGAGAATGAATAGCTTTATTTAGAGGACACAAATATTTTTGTATGAGTATTTTTTAAAGCAAGTTAAAGTGCAAGCTGCCACTGTGGCTGATATTAAAATGGTTTTTACTTCTTGTAAATTTTTTTGCTCAGAATAACTGCAAAGGGATATTATATTGTTTTGTGAATAAAGTAGAATGAAGCCTCTGCATAATGCAACTAAATCTGATATTATAAAGTCAACAACATTTTCTCTTGAAAACTATCTTCAAGCTTTTTAAAGACATATTTGTCATTTTCTGAGATTATCTCACTCTCTGAAAGCAAATTTCATAACACTTACCATAGCTGTTTTTACAGTATTGATCATTTTTTCTCGATCCCCGTCAATGGTAACTTCCATCCTCCGTCTGCAACATCTTGTGCAATGTTTTATGTGGGATTTTTTTTTTAAAGAAAATATTTGTAGGCATTTTATTCCATGGCATTGTGTGGGTGTGTATGCCAGATCGTGAACTTTCTGCATACACTCACAACGTAAAAGTATCATCAGCATTAGGGTTAGAAGATTAACGATGTCTAAATTAATGACGCACTTGTGTTAGAAGACTAACAGTGTCTAGATGTTATAACAACGGCCAAAAGCCAAAGAATTTGTGCTTGTTAAGGAAGATACAGATAAGTAGGGATTCTTTAAAATAACAAAGCAGAAACTTACCTACTGGCTGCACAAGGTTAGTAGCTCTTATTGAAAGTGCTGAGAGGAACTAGTTTTTGAAATGAGCATGTGCAAGAGCAATACACGGATTTGCTGTTATTTTTAGAATGTACAAGAATATATAAGGACTTGTTTTTCTAATAAATGTGGGAGCTTGACTGTTAACCATATTTGTGTGTGTCTTGTCTCACAGCCTTGTCCTGAAAAAAAAAGGGTTCCTGCTACAGCATTGATGCCTTCTAATAACATTTTCTAGTTAATTATAACTTAAAATCATATATATATACACACATAATTATGCATAGGGAAAAAAATAATTACATTTATTATCTGAAATTTCATGTTAAACCCCTCTTGCTCTTCATAAATATCATGTTTTTCACCTTCAGCACATGACATATAGGTGCCTTAAATCTATTTGCCTCATATATTATCATACTAATGCAGTCTTGTCTTGTATACTTGTGAAATTCTTTTGCGATTAATGACGTGACTCATTTTGTCAGTAAAACCTTATCCCTATATAAATCATTTTGAATTGACTACAAAGTTAGAGCAGAGGTTAATCTGTTAAAAAGTTCAGTATCAAAACAGTAAGTGCTTTTCATTGTCCAGCTGTCTGTCTTTCCCCACATTTCAATTACATGTTAAAAGATTTGAGGAACACCAGTAGATGGTGCTGAAGTGCTACAGAGAGTGAAGTGCTTCAAGCACATGAGCTTTTTAGGCAAAAGTGAAAAATAATACAAGTGGGAAATTTCAGGGCCTTAATTTAAGCACCAAGTTATCTCACATTGTTTTGTTATTTTTTAGTTCAGGATCTATTGATGCAAGAGACGACAAATGAAAAAGAAGAGGCAATAACCGATAAAAACGTCATTGATTTGCAACAGTTTGTACCGGTGGGTGGTATGTGCCATATTGATGCTCTGCAGCTTCCACCTCAAGTCAAACAAATCAAGGGCTGGCGGAGGTAAGTGAGGAAAGAGATCACACTCCATACAGTCCTCTTCCCTCTCATCCTTGAAGAGCTGTTCCTGAGGTATGACACTGCTGAACATACACAGTGTACATGATTTCCTGAGCAGCAAACTAAAGGACCAAGTTTTCAATGAAATTTCAGTTACACTTGGCCAATTTTTGGAGCAGCTGGAAGGAACAGATCAGCCTGCACTTAGAGGCATGTGCTTAGTCAGTGCTCATCAGCATGGCTAGCACAGATTGTTGTGCTGGAAAATGCTCTTGACCAAAATAAAAGTTTATCATTTTTCATATGAAAAAGAAGAAAACATCTAGATGATTGTTCTGCGAAGTTCCAGTAAATGCTTTGATATTGATAGTACCTTGCTCAATTTGACTGCTTCGCCATCTAGAGACTTAAAAATTGATCCTCTCTCCTCCCAGCTATACTGAAATAAAAGCGTTTCAGACATCCTACTACTAATGCTACTTGTTGATTCTGAAGTTCAAGTTATGCATGATTATCCATATGCTCATTGCTATATAAATCAGTTCTAGAACAGACATGATGTCACAGACCAATGTAATTTCTGAAATCCTACAGAAAAGTGGCTTTCTTCAGGATATGTGAATGAAAGTTTACAGCCTAGAGTAGTAGATAATGTATGCAATATCCAGAAAAGCAAAGATATTAATATTTGATGCCTGAATCAGAAAAATGCTTTCATAACCAGAAGCTGCTTTCACTGATTTGTACAACAGGATAATCAGTGTATGTTGTCTTCAGTAATGGCAGAAGAGAAGGATGTGCTTTTCCACATCACAGGAAAATGAATAAGTCCAGTTGACCCAAGAGGAGTTTTTTTTAAAAAATGCTGTATTTTCCCAGTAGAGTATTCTCACAACCATGGCTCTGTGAATGTGAAGGTGAGTGCAAGAGTAGATAAGTGAAAAATACATGGGGGGGGAACCTAAGTAACATTTTTTTATAAATACCTGCTGTGCAGAATCAGGTGGCCAGTTTACAAGCAAGCTTTTTCTTACAGTTGTATAACACAGGGAATTAGACAGAATGATATATGCATTTTCTAACTTGTACTTTTGCATTACAGGCTCCCCTGTAGCAGAAGTTAGGACCTATCAACAGATGGCACTGGTTGCACCTGCTTTTGCCTGGAACAAGTGGAATCTAAAAGCAGGTCAAGAAATATTAGTGTTCAAGTTTTGTGGATTTAGACTAAAATTCTGAAGAAAAACCAGCATAGAACAGTTAAACAGATATAAACAATTAACTTGGAGTTACACTCTTCTCAAATATTGTCTTTAACCCCTGCTCTTCATGGAGCAGTTTTAAGATTTGGGGTTGACTACTTAGCAGCATTCAGTGTGTGTCAGTAAAACAGCTCACGCGTTTGTGACATCTCAAGTGGGACACGTATCTCAGTAACAAAGACACTTGCTAACGTGCTAGGATGTATAACTGATAGGTCAGCTGTTGAGGCTTTAGCTAAAGTTGAGCTGATGTAGCTGGATGCTGATTTTCATGAAGTATTCTCTGTAGGGGTCCTCTGAATAGCAATCTGATCTGCAAGTGTTATAATTAACATCTGGAAATTTCTTCTTGTCCATATGAGGTTTTATTTGTTCCCTAGTCTAAAGGAAGGAATAAGCAACTTGTGTTTTAGCTCACAGGTAGAAACAAACCAATGTTCATGTGGTTAAAACTTCTCCCAGACAGAAAAATAGTCCCAGCTTGATTGTAGATACAGAACACACAAATACAGTTGAAATCTTGGGCAGCTCTCCCCCTCTTCCAAGTTAAATGCATGTAATGTACAAATATTTCACCTAACACTTAATTGCAGGAGCAATTGCTTGTTGCACCTAGCTGCTCTCTCTAGAAGAGTCAAGATCAGCAGCTGGAGGGGCCAAATGTTGCATTTTACAGAGGCAAACTGGATGGAAGATTTTTTTTGTGTTGATACAGTACCTGGTAGTCTCTTGGGCACATAGTGCTAATATTGTTTTAGGGGTTCAAAGTAGCAGCTTGGTTTTGTTTCTTTATTATACTTATGAGTATACTAGAATTTAGAATTTCATACTAGAATTTATACTGTCAGTGTCACAGGCTTCATTTCACAGAGCGTTTTTTTCTGCAATAGGTAAGTGAGCATCTTAGATTCTGTCAAAGACTGGTCTCTCTGTATGTTTAATGGTCAGAAAGCACAAAAACTCAGGATCATCAAAACCAGTGAAGCTTTTTCAGAAGAGCTAGGTGACAATTCTGAATTTCACTTCACACTCTACCATATGCTTAAGGACTTTATCAATTGCTTCTTCGCTGGCAAAGTGGAAAGAGCTAGTTTCCTGTTTATTGATGTTGTATATCAGCTACTCCTTGCTACAAGAGTTGTAACACTTAAATACTGCATGCTTTTCTTCGAAACTTTATTATCAAAAGCTTTCAATAAAGTTACATTTCAAGTCTTGAATCCTTTTCTATGCAAATCATTGGAACAACTTCAGTGACTAAAATGCAAACATATTTTTGTTAAAGCAAAATAAGTCCTTTATTCTCTTGTGGCTAGACCACTTCATCAGATTTACTTTTACCTATGTTCAAAATTACTAGCTGTTTTATTGTAAACCTGAATGAACTGAGACCCTTTTAGGTACTTGCAAAGATGACTTTTGTTAAAATGGGCTGGGGGTGGGGGGTGGAATAGATGGATTTTCAATGTCAAGTCATGCTTTCAAGAAGGGAAAAAAAAAAAATCTCCCCAATAAACATCCACAACACAAACCCAAACATGTAACCTTAAAATATAGTTTCTCAGCTTCTCATACATCATCCAGAACCTGGAAGTATAACTACAAAAGTCAGAACCTTTGTTATACTGGGGGGGGTCCATTGTGCTGGAGTCCTGTATATGGCCACAACAGTTGCTGTAGTGAAGTCCAGGAGTCCCCGGTTCCTACAGGTGCTGCATCTGCTGGTCTTTGAAGAGACAGCCCGGTGAGAAAGCTTGTCAGAGCAGCAAGCAAGACCAGGATGGAGACAGAAACCCAGAGAGTTTTGTTAGCACTGGAAAAGGAAGTCTTGAAATGGGATGCCCATGATGACATTAAATTGCACCTGCACAGAAGAGTCAGAGTGGTTCAGTTTTTCTTCAAAACATGGAAGCCCTCTTCCCACCACATCCCTCCACCATGAAAACCCCTAAAGCAAACCAGACCCCACAGAAAACCCGTACAGATCCTTAACTACCAAAAGTCACAAGGTTGCTACTGTACTGGGAGCTAAATGCAGCAGTAGCTTATGTTCTAGATTTAAAACACGGACTTCAGTGAGCACATTCTCAATAAGCTGCTTCAGTGTCTGACCCGACTCATAAGTCACCCATACTCCCTGTACCACACACTGTTTCTGAAGGGGATTCCCAACAGCTGCCTTGCAGATCATCAAGACATCTTGCTTGTAGAAAGCGCTGAAATTGCAGGCCTCATGTTTTATTGTTTACTAGGGCTTCAGTGCCTTCCTTGAGGTTAGGGAGAAATCCTGCCCTCACTGACTCAAAATCCTAGACCTCTTCTGACATTGGGTACCTCTATCTTTTATCAAACAAACAATAATATATTTGTTCTTGCTGTCTTCTCAGTTTTACACACTATCATATTTGCACCCTGTCTGGATCAGGAGCACTCACAGTGGAAACAGCCTCATATATTCATATGGAACAAACAATTTCTCTGCAGAGAGAGAACAAACCTCCTTTCCTGTAAGGCAGGATATCCAAGGGATACCTGTTTAGGACAGCACTCTTCCTTGACTTGAGATATTTGGAAAAAGTAGCTGGAATAGGCTGGAGTTAATCTTGATAACCATTTGTGCCACAGTGTGTGCCAAAGCTGCTGGTAAGTTTTGCCCAGGTCTCAAATCCTTGATCTTTTCACAAGAGTGCATGTTGGCATGACCTATTAGCCTAGCTGTAATTGTCACAGAGTAACAAAAGAAGCGAGATCATGGCATGAGGCTCCTCTTTACCTCACCGTTTAAGATTAGTCATGAATCCCTGGTAGGGGTAGTCTCTAGAACCTGAGATTCTTCAATCCCAGTTGGTTTAAGAAGTGAGCATTAACAACCAAACCAAAAGGTATAGCTTTGCTTCAATTTGCCATGCCCACCACCCAAACATTGCTTTACCTCACGATGATGTGAGAAAACTTACACTGACTCTAGGTTCCATTTCGATGAATATTTTCCTTTCTCAGAGACACTTTCCTTCCTGGATGGTTTTTCTTGTGCTTCAGCAGGCGATTCCAACTGCTCATTTCTGTAAGCAAGCATCAACAGTTCCAAAGCTTTTCCATCAAGCATTCAATTTGACAGAGCTCACAACAGCTTGACTTTATAGCCCTGATGGACAGTTAAGAGCTTGTTACAAACAAACCAGCCAACCCTGCACACACACACACCTCAGAGGAGGTTGCTGTTGAACTTACTTGGTTTCAGAGTGTTCATCTTCGTACTCTGCCCAGGAATATGTGCTAATGAACCGCTGTAGCGAAGGACGCTTCTCATTTTGCTTTGCACCTAGTCGCCCCCTGTCATATTTTAAACAAGATTTGCCTCAATTATCCCATGAGATATATAGGAAATTAGAAATCCAGCAGCAGCCTACTTATTTGAGTAGGCCTTAGACAAATAACTTTCAAAATTAGTGGCCCGAAATCAGGATTGTTTTTTAGAACACTAAATCCATCAGTGCCAACTGCCTAGTTTTCATATTCTTATTTTAAGCCAAGGTAATTGAGAAGTTGTAACATTTAGTCATGGAAGCTCATTTACCTATTGGAGCATGTAAAATTAAAGTGAAAGATGCAGCCTACATGTTATTATACCTCAAGATGCTCCATAAGCTGCTTAATACAGACACAGTTTGAGTTGAAAATTTAACCCTACTCAAAGACAAGCCTAAGTAACTTTACCAACTGCTGGATCTCCTCTTGAATTTATCACTCTGTTCATCTCCATCAGGTTCATGGAGTTGGGCCTAGAGAAGAAGTTTGACACACTTACTGCATTGCCATTTTCTGGCTTCAGCCCAGGCAGTTTTGAGAAGGTAAAGAGCCTCACCATCTGGGAACCCTTACTTACCAGTGGCAACCCAAGACCTGCATTTCCAGCACTCCTAGGCAATGTTGCAATACTAACTCTTCGTAGGGATGATGGCGGCTATACAAATAAGAGGCATTACTGACTATCAAGGAATGACTAGATTACTCACTGATCACATAAGATACCATGGTTTTCTACAAACTGTTTAAAAAAAAAAATAGATGATGATACTTAGCTTGAAGTGACACACAAAGCAAAATCAAATCATAAGAACAACCCAAACTGTATTCTTTAAAGCAGCATCTTTCCACATTAACTGCTTTCCCCTGCCACTATACATCTGAACTGAGGCTGGCTACACAGCTTCCAGCAAAACACCAAAACTAAGTGTGTCTAAATTCCTCCTAATGCTGCTCACAGAATTCCTACAGTCAATTTGAACTGATCCCATCTATTTTTTTCATCTTTCTCTGCTAAACCCTGCTTCTGTAACCACAATGAGAACACAACACCTGAACGATATTTCTTAAGCACTGCATGACAGCACAGCCATTTCAGCTTCTGCAAACTCTTCATTTAAGTGGGACCATATGCAGTTCCCTTGGGTTGGTGGGTGGAGGTAGGGGTGATTGAAAATACGCATGTTTGATGACATCAGCCCATATCTGAGACAGAAAACCACCAAGTCAAGCATGTAGCAGAGCACCAGCATATGACAAAGTAAGAAACAAACACTCACACACTTGAAATTTCACATTAGGCTGTAAGGGCCATTACCTTAAAGTTAAAAGAATTTGGTAGCTTTTTGTGCGCAGATTCATCTGTGAAGAGATCAAACATCAGAAAGGCTTACAGGAATGCCGTAAGCTTTATCTGCAACTAAAGGTCTGACTTTTTGCAGTACCTGTTTATGCAAAGAGTATATCACAACACTCTCAGAAAGCAGAAATGAGATTTCAGGAAAAAGCTTTTTATTCCATTAGATAATTTCATCGTATTTGCACATTATACATCCTCTACAAGCATCAATTTCTGTTGCTACTATTAATGTATTCTCCTATTACTGAGGCAGCATCCTGTTACAGGACAATCTTTTACAGTCAGGAAAGAATAACCTGTGATTCAGAATGCTCCTGTGAGGATTTTACCAGTGTGAAAGATCCCCCTTCCTGCTTTTAAAATACATGCTCTATTTTTCAGAAGAATTTAATCCTTCTATGGCAAAGTCACAAGTACACAGCACCATCTGAAAACCTGACCACTGTATCATCTGCTTAGAGGGGGAGATTCAGAGCACCTGTGCGTGAGTGCATAATTCATATTTATAAAAGAGCAGAAAGTATCTGCAGAGAGCAGTCAAGCTCAGCTACCTAGAAATAGTTACTGGGAGTGCTCCAGGGAGAGCAAGCACCCAAATTTACTGCTCACAGGGAATAAGATTATCACCACCACATGAAATGCACCTTTCTAAAATCCAGAACATTACTGCACACTTACAATGTTTCTCCACCACCTCAAGATTCATGACATATCGCACAAGTCTAATTTCAGAGTTGTTTCTAATACTGTTAATAAATAGCTATTTTTAGGAAAGCAGATACAGCAGTCGTATAACCCTTCCACCTAATATCTTAAGCTTCACCTAGATAAGGGTCTATCTGTCAGGTGCTAGAAAGAGGAAAGACAAAGCAGCTCTTCTTAGTTACCTCGATCTCCAAAAGCACTAAAGGATCTCTCGTTCTGGAGCAGGACCTGTTTCAACTCCTCAAGTTCTGCATGTTCTTTTGTGTACATGCGCTTCAGGTTTTCCACATGTTGAATCATTACTTCCACAGCCTTACTGACACGACTCTCCTAACAGAGCAAGCAACAGCAATAGGAAAAAGAAGCAGCTCTTTAAGGAACTGTGTCAGGTTTAGAGTTTTTTTAGAAAGACTATTTCCCCCCCTTAACCATCTACTCTCATCTTGTATCACCATGATGCAACATCCTCTCATTTTTGTCCACCTTTTAAAAGTTTCACTACAACCCCTCTCCTAACACTTGTCCAAGTTGCACAGGTCTCATTTCTCCAGTGATTACTCCTAAAATAAATTAGTCTTCATTTTCTGAGCCCTTACAACTCCTCCTCATCTCTTTCTCTGATCTACAGTCTCAGCTGCCACCACGCATTTGCTAGTATTGCCAAATCATATTTTCATGCTGTTCTTTGGCATTATACACAGTTACACATAACATTTCAGCAGGTCTCTGTAAATTTCCATAGATTTATTAGCTTATGCCATAAGGCACAGAAATACCATTAGAGCATCAAGAGTATTGTTACCACATTGCATTCTTGTGTGCTCTACTATATAGATCCTTCTGCTGCAAATTCTTTTTAAAATTTTTGTTTGTTTTAAATTGGGACCATATTTCTGTTGTGTGTTTTT